GTGAATATCTCTAAAACGAAAAAATATATTCCAAAAAGGAAAACGCCATTCTTCTTTACTTTGAAAAGCCTTTCAAATCAGCAGCAATTATTTTTTACTGCATAGGCACTTTAAGAAGAAGGGCAAAAAAAGACAACTATTTAACATTTGGCTGACAAGTTTATTTACATGAAAAAAATCTAACCTTTTTTAAAACATCACCACTACCAATGATTTTAGATTGCCCTAAATATATATTACATATTTACAAAATGATTGCATAATAATTTAATTATTTTATCTTCGTTGCTGGCCAGAAAATGTAAGAACCATAACAGTTACAGAAGACACCTCTTCTGTCTAGTAATTGTGATTTCCAATAAAAAAAATTCTTGTAAACATAAATTACAATCTTAAATGAAATAATTTGTAATTTGTAGCCCAGATGTATTGTGAAAATTACCAGGTATGGACTGGAAATCTGTCTTTGATGGTGTTTGTTATAAAAAAAAAAAATACAAAAACTCGTCTGGTCATGGATGTTGACTAAAGAAAATGTGAAATTTCACATAAGCACCCCGGGCACTTACTGGAGGAAATACAGGATGTAAACATTGATTATTTACATATTAACAACATTTTGGAATAACTCGGCCAGTATTCTAGATAAGTTGACAATTTGTCCACAGCGGTCAAACGTACTGTGCACGCGCTGGTCTCGCCGTCTTTCCGCCAAACCAGCCACTTAACCTCTTTTAGCTCAAAAATCCTTCACTTTCAAGCCAAACGTTAAGATAGTTACTGAAAAGTTATACGACGCAGATGCATAAAGAATTTAGCAATTGATATCCATCTAGTTTGTTGGCTCGTAATCTGATTTATCACTGCTCTAATGTTTTCTTACATAAGTCTTGAACATTTTTGCTTCAAGCTCAACCCAACAATTTTCGAGGCTGCGAAAACCAAAAATCAAGTGACGTTGAATTGTTGCGTTTTACCGCTGTGAACATAACTGTGAACATACACTGCCTTCAACGATCTGGCTCGCAAGGTTTTCCAGGACCGGTAATTGTAAAACAAATGACTGGCAGCCAGTGCTTCGTTTACTACAATAGACAGGACAAGTTCAGTTATCAGGACTTCTTAACAGACTGGGTTCAGTTATGAGGACTTGGTTTCTTTTCAGATTGGGTTCACTTATCAGGACTTCTTTGCAGATTGGGTTCAGTTATCAGGACTTCTTTACAGACTGGGTTCAGTTATCAGGACTTCTTTACAGATTGGGCATTCTTGAACACCTGTTTGAGCTGTTTGTCACGATCACTGTTGTCGCACCCTGTAGAGATAGTTCAAAAAATTGAAGATGGCTGACGTGTCTCCCTTCAGCAAATAGAACAACTTTCACTGGCTGGCGGGTTTTCGCGCGCGAGCGCCGTTGTTTTGGCGGCGAAGCCGTGAACGCGAGCNTCTTGAACATTTTTGCTTCAAGCTCAACCCAACAATTTTCGAGGCTGCGAAAACCAAAAATCAAGTGACGTTGAATTGTTGCGTTTTACCGCTGTGAACATAACTGTGAACACACGCTTCCTTCAACGATCTGGCTCGCAACGTTGTCCAGGACCGGCATTGTAAAACAAATAACTGGCAGCCAGTGCTTCGTTTAATACGATGGACAGGACAAGTTCAGTTATCAGGACTTCTTAACAGACTGGGTTCAGTTATGAGGACTTGGCTTCTTTTCAGATTGGGTTAACTTATCAGGACTTCTTTACTGATTGGGTTCAGTTATCAGGACTTCTTTACAGACTGGGTTCAGTTATCAGGACTTCTTTACAGACTGGGCATTCTTGAAAACCTGTTTGAGCTGTTTGTCACGATCACTGTTGTCGCACCCTGTAGAGAGAGTTCAAAAAATTGAAGATGGCTGACGTGCCTCCCTTCAGCAAATAGAATAACTTTCACTGGCTGGCGGGTTTTCGCGCGCGAGCGCCGTTGTTTTGGCGGCGAAGCCGTGAACGCGAGCGGCAAGTATACATCAAGTTTCAACATTTCACAAGCACAAAAAATTATGGTTTTGTATCTTACGTGTATCTGTGGTTGTCTTTAAATTTTAAGAAACAAAATGGTGACCTGCGTCACGCCATGCGCACTACCTACCCCTCCCTAACAAGCCAAGAAATGGCTAGTATGTCACCTATGAATATCTTGTATTGGCTTGTTAATTCTTATTCGTTTTCGATGGTACAAACCTGAAAAATCTTCTACTAATTTCACAGTATCTTACCCAAGAACGTATTTGTAGGATAAGAAGGATTTGGAATGCAGTCTGCGCCACTGGTGTCGTCCATGTACACTGGGCCATCATTCCATATCAAGTCAAAACCGCCAACACGCTTCTCACGGCCAGTCAATCTAATAACGAAAAAATACATTAAATAAATAACTGTTCCCGTGGAAATTAAAAACTATCTGCTGGTCGAAATCAAATCAAATTGGGCCAACGGCGCGCTGCATTTCTCATAACCTTTCACTTCCCTTTTCCTTTAATTGTAACTGCTTCTGCAGCTGCTGTTGTTGTTTTTTATCATCAACAACCATTAGTACTCGAGAGAACGTTCCACACACAAGGGGCCAAAGTTATCGGTAAGTCAGTTTGCACGCGGGATCCTGCGGTTGTTAACTAGCGTTCACTGTGCATGTCAGAGTGTATGTTTTGCTGCTGAAACCGCTGGTAACGAAAACAAATAATGGTTACATAATAAAAACTGTCTCACAGTTCAGTCGATTGCAGAATTTGCCCAGCATTAAATTTACCAGCACTCATTTCTACACTAAATGAGAGTGGCATTGTGAAAGCAAAGCCTTTTCAACAAATATTGGCCCAGGGCTTATCATCGGAGAGAAATTTGATAGCATTATGCTCTTAGCTAAATTCATCATAGATAGAAATGTTCCATATTAACCTGTTTTCCATGTCAATGATATGCAACATGTCCTCCAACAGACGACACTTGAGCTCATAATCAGACTGACTACTGGCAGTCAGCGAAGGCGAGGCATTCACTTCAATCAGCCAACTACAGAAACAATCAGTGTACGGATATTACCCAGGTATTAGAGAGGTTAAGCATGACGTTTACGGCAAACGACAAACAGCAAAAATGAAACTTTTGCCGTCTCCCTTCAGTTGTGTGTACAGTAGAGTGAAATTATTTGTGTTTGCAATGAATAGTAGGAGACGTTATTCCATTTTTGTGTGCTTTATTTACGGATTAGAAGAAAAGAACTCAAAATCAGAAGTTATCTTTGCCGTTTGCCGTCTGCCGTTAACGTCATGCTTAACATCTCTATTGTTTTTCGTAACAAATCTGATAAATATATGTATATCTAATTAACCAAGCACGTGGCCTTCACTTTAGACGAGAATATCGGTGGCACTGCAATGACACACTCGGCTATTTTGTTCTCATCACATTCTGACGTTTTTTTTGTGATCTATTACTGAACAGATGCAAGGCAACACGGAATCTATTTGTTAACTATGCAAACTACGGTTGGCAATTTAGCTGTAACCTCGCTATTTCCACAACTGTTAATTACTATATAATTGACGTCTGAAACGCCAAAAAAAATGAACTTACGGTTTTAGTTTGGAGTCGACTAGAATATCATAACCATATCTGTCAGGTCATTGAGTTGACCAAGTTAAGGAGCCAAATTATGCAAATAGAATATTTACGCTTTCCTTCCCAAGCTTAAATTGCTAATCCTCTTTATCAAATGTATGGCTTGACCTATATTATGGAAACTGTTTAAGTTGTTAGACATTACAGGGTTGCAGTTGTTAGGGTAGTTCTGAAAAGAACTGTTTTTGGTGACTGATATTTCGACAACCTAAATGTGGAACTTACTGGAACCAACCAATAATTGTTGATAAACTTTACACGAGTCTTTCAATCATGCAATACCATCATGGCGAAACTGAGCATCTACATTATAACTAACATGATCGCATCCACAGACGTGACAATATAAGGATACAACTCAAAGCAGTGCTTGTCGTTTATCATTACTTTTTGTACAGCTTGTATACTTTTGATGTAGATGTTATCCATGTCTCTAACCAAAGCTTCAACCTGAAAAACCGAAAATGTCGATATTTAATTTATACTGGCATGCAGTTTGTAATCGTTTTTAACTAGACATTTAGAAACACCATGTGCTCCCCTGGGGAACTAAGGTGTAATGAAAATAAAAACGTTTAAAAAGAAGTTTCTGAAACGCCGTGTTAACAAGACAAACTAACTAGCCACTGAATAGTGCTATATCTTGCGGATAAAGCGCTATTTATCCCTAGTTCAAAGCCTGATTAAGCTAACCCAGGATTAGCGAGAAGTTTGATTTCATTTTTGTAACTTTTTAATGAGGTTTTCTGCTTATATTGTTTGTCCTTCAGTTTTGAGTTTGAATAATCTCAAACCTCGCAAAATATTAGCAGTGAAAAACATTTTTATACAAGATAAATTAATACTTCGGTCAACGTTTAATTCTGAGGTAGTGTCAACCGGCTTTCGAACAACCCTGCCCTGGCCTGCAGCCTAGATGTTGGCTTAACTGAGAACTGGCACTAATTAACACTAATCAGCTAAACATGAAGCAACTACATGTACTATGGTTGAAATACCGGAGTTTAGTCCCCCCTCCCCTCCCCCGCATTCCTGTGCAATGTTGACAAAACACTTTGAATTCATGCAAGAAAGTATTTTGCCATTTGCCAACATTTGAAAGGCGGATTAGGTAGTATGCATGGACAAGTACAAAGCGGTTGTTATGATCCTAATTTCAATCATTTGTATGAGCTTTAAATGACTGCGATAAGGATTATAGGAGTCTTTCCACTTTCTCTGGATAGTGAGCAATTTTTACCTTTTCTATGCCATGTTTTGACACAAGATATCTTCTGAGCTGCTGTAGAGACCACTTGCAACCCTGAAAATATGAACACGAGAATCTTGTAACTAGAGGTAAATTCTGCATTCAAGCCTAGTGGCCCAACAGCCAGCAATTGTCTCTACGTTCTGTAGCATGAAGCAGCTAGGAGTATTTCTACTCTCCCTAGAGGTAAAGCTCGTTCATCATAGTATATACCCTGGCATTTAATTCTTACTGGTATACATTTATACACCTGGGCCGGGTTGTTCAAAGCCCGATTAAGCTAACTCAGGATTAGCAAGAATTTTGATCTCAGTTTTGTAACTTTTCGGTGAGGTTTTCTGTTTATACTGTTTGTCCATCCGTTTTGAGCTTGACTAAGCTCAAACTACACAAAACTTAAGCAGTAAAAAACAATTTTATACAAGAAAAATTAATAGTTCGGTTAACTTTTAATCCTGGGTTAGCGTTAACCGGCTTTTGAACAACCCGGCCCTGGGTGGAGAGAAGCATGGTAGGAGCAAAGTGTCTTGCCCAAGAACACAACACAATGACCCCCACCTAGAGATCAATCTTCTCATTTTGTCGTAACAGCATTGTTTTGCTTATTCAAGGGAATCAAATGGTGTTTCACCCAACAAACGTTTTTGCTACCTTTCCATCTCAAATCAGGATACCAAAGATGTTTCAGTTACACTGGTTTTATGCTGCAGCCACATACCTTTTCAGCATCATAATCAGGAGCTGTTTTCTGGATGGCGACATTAGTGAGATGTACATCTACAGTGTGAACATGTTAAGGACTGAAAATCAAGTCTTATTATAATGTATGATTTGACCTCATTACACAAAGTTCGAACCCTTTTTCAGAAACAAATTGCCAGGAATTTTCCAGGACTCAGATTGATTTTTCTAGGACTCTAAAATTCACATTTAACCCTTTCACTCCCAAGATGTCAATGTTAATTCTCCATACATTTTATTTTATTACCTGAGTTTAACAGATTTCCAGAACTTTCCAGGACCCCAGTAGCCTTTTTTTTCTAGGACTTTCCAGTCCTGGAAAATGCCACAATAAAATTCCAGGACTTTCCAGATTTTACAGGATGCGTATGAACCCTGATTACAAACAAGCCTGTCTCGTAGCTGAAGAGAGGCCAAAAGTTCAGACAGAGATTATAATTATAGCGTTGTCAACAAATACTGTATCTTCTATCTGTTCTATTGCTTTGATGATATCTAACCAGTAACTGGACAGCAGAAATAGAGATTGGACTGGTTGTTTCAAAGCATGACTAAGCTAAACCAGGATTAGCATGAATTTTATTTCAGTTTTACAGTAATTTTTCAGTGACGTTTTCTGATTACATTTTTCGTGCTACAGTTTTAAAATCAGGCAGGCCATTTTTTCCTCGCAGTTTATTTTCGGTCTCACTCGATGCACTAAGCAAATGAAGAACTACTCATAATCTAGAGATGAAAAACACTTCAATTTATACCAGAGAAAATACTTTTCAATAAGCTTATAGGCTTGTTTTGTGTTTATCACTTTTCCAACAACCTGGCCCTGTATTGCTTAATATATACTGAGTGTTAGATAGCCGTCTTTCCAGCAATAATTTAAGAATTCAAGGATCCTTCTGACCCTTTCATGGCTGATAAAGGATACATGTGTCATCTATCGAGTCCAAAGAAAACCTTGTATTTGAAAATCTTGCAAAGCCTTCTCTGTAAAGCCAGGCACACATTGGAGCATACTAAGAAGGAGAAACGTTAGTCAGTGAACAACAAAACTGATAAGTGGAAATAATCATAAGAGCTGAGTACTCTACCAAGGAGCAACTACACAATACAGGGCCACTTTTGAAGGTGCATATATTTACATGTAGTGTCTTGTTTGGCTCATTTCGCTCAGCAGTGGATAAAAGAACGAGGTCTATATATATTTAGTGGCTCATTTGGCTTGGCAGTGGATAAAAGAACGAGGAATAATCTGTATATATGCATCAAGTCCTATGACTATATATTTATGGCTTGTTTGGTTCAGCAGTGGATGACATTAAGGAGCAAATGAGCCAGCTTGTTTGGTGGATGATTAATAGTGGCCCTGTATTCTGTAGTTTACTATAATACTGTTTCAGAAAGGTGGTTCTACAAAACATTTGTCACCTATCTGATATATGCATATGAAAATGTGTCTCAAAGGTACCTAAAATTATACAGTATGTTGAGTGATAGAACACTAACAATTGATGTTTTAAGGCCACCGTGCACTAGCCAATTTTTTTTTGGCAGACAAAAAATCTTCACTTGTCAGCTAGTGTGCGGTGAATTCAGACAAGTCTGCGACAGGATTGTGGCTTGTCACACGATATCTGACAGTGCTAGATCTCAAAATGTCTTGTCAGGCCTTGTCGGCTAGTGTGCAGTGGACCAAGACAATTTGTTGGGGTTTGTATGCACCTCAACCAATTAGGAAATGTCGTGAGAGTCATGTCAGTGGAATAGGTGCCATCTTGATTTTGGATGACTTGGCCCCAAACCTCAATGCGGTTAGTCACGACAAAAAGTCAGCTAGTGTGCGGCAAGCTGATGGCCCAACAAATTGTAACCTGATTTGACCCTGACAGAAAATCTGCAGTTCTACTACAAAAAATCGGCTAGTGTGCAACAGCCTTTAGCGTCCAATTTCAGTTCCTAAAACAAACACTCACCTATATATGGCCCCTGTCCCTCTCTTCAACAAAATATGAACCCCCACCACCACCCCCACACAAAAAAGAACAAAAAAATCAGCTTCCCTGAGGTTAAGCCTCTCTTACTCTACGCTAGAGGTACTATGCATTTTTTAAAGGTTATCTGGATAAAAATAGGTTGTCGTGAAATCATCAAACAGACAGAATAACAGTGAAAAGATACTCACTGCTGTCACCAGAACATAAACTCTTAAGTCAAACTTTCTACCTGAATTGACAAGATAAACAAACAAGAGAGAATTACACATTTTTCATCACTGTTCAACTTGGGTGTATTGAAACTCCTTGTAACAGCAAGTTAATTTAAAAAGTTTGCTTTTATATATATTTATGCACCCAAAGAATAAAACTCATAGTGTTCATCTCAACATCATTAGTCAATGGATGCAAACCAAAAAAAGAAAAAAAAAGAAAGAAGATTAAGATAAGACTCAGAAAACTTGTCCTATTTCATGTGAAATATATCTTAATAATGTTTGAATTGAGCCCTTTGCTGCAGCTAACTGAAGATACCGGTAAGTAGTCAACAGGTAATCAACATTTGTGGGGGCACCAATTTTGTAGGCAGTGAAAATGTGCTCTTGCCTAATGGATGTTTGAAAAAATTTACCTTTTGAAAGAAAATTTAGTAAGAATTTCACAAACAAAATTAAACTATTTGCTCTTGGTTTTTGAGTTGATAGTTCATTCATTGTTAGTGTCATGAATTATCACCTCATAGAAATCAAATCGAGACTGAAGAATCTACTTCTTATAAGTAGTACTAATTGCTCAATGATTGTCTGCCAAAAGAAACTTACTTCCTATTAAATATGGATCTTCAATATAACGCTGTACAATGTATGCCTCTGGTGCTTCTTTCTCATCTTTCTGAAAACAAGATAAATATCAACTTCAACTGACTGATGAAAGAGTAAACAATCAAGAAATTGATTGTAACCTTTACCAAATTCAGGAGTAAACTGAACTCAGAATAATGAAACCTTGACAGGGAGACAGGTATTGGTTGAAACAAATTTATGAGTATTGCCAAGAGCTGTTACATTCATTTAGAAGACTAGTTGTTGATAAATCCCAAGTTTTTCTTGTTGCATGTGGACATTCAATTTCCTTCCCTTGCCAGTCTAGGAGAATCATTTTTACCAAAGAATTATGTAAAATAAAATCATACTCATTTGTGAGAAAAATGATCTACCCAAAAATAAATTAATTTTCTGCTTAAAGGTTTTCCTCTTGCTTTCCTTCTGTTACTGCTAGGGGTTTTGTTCTATGCTGCAGCATAAGATTTAACTGAAAAAAGACTAAAATTGGTCTAAATTTTTAACACTCCTGAAGCAAGCTACCATGAGCATTAGGCATCATTGTTAAAAAGACTTTACAGGCCTTTCAGGGTGTGACAAAAAACCACATAAAAGGTAGTAGGAAAGTCAGTAAACTGCAGACAGTGATGAAAATGACTATCTCTATGTTAAACGCCACATGACCATCAGTGCCTTAGACCCTAGACCCATATGCAGTGTTTTCATTTCCCAGCCAGAGGAAGGGCCCGCTACTCACCCTGTCATCCTGCATGGCTGCTCTATAAGGGTCTTCCTGAAAATTAGACAAGGAAGGTGAAGATATTCACTAAACTGCATTTTAATGCACATGCAAATTGAAATACTTTGCCTTCAGCTAGCTCTCCAGAAGGAAATGGAAAAAGGAGAAGCCCAGGGAGATGCTCAGCAGATCAGGATAAAAGGCAATTAATAGTTGCAAGAACATGAGAAGGAACAGCAGTGCTGTTCCAAAAAAGGTCACTACTCTTCTGTGGAAGGCATTTGGTTTGAGACCTGCCCCCTTCCCCAAACCAGGGCTCTGGAAATTCCAGTTTAGCTCCATACTCTCCTTTCATAACTTTTCTTACTAGTGACCATATTTTGTTTTATTCTACAGTGTACCACCCATCATAATGTTCTTACTGAAGAAATAAGAATATTGGTAAATTATTTGTGATTTCTTCTCTCTTATGTTTTTCCCAAAAGCTCACTACATTATTTTTATATTTTGCTAGGTTGCTTCCAGGATCTTTTAGGATCTTTAAAACCAGATCTTAAGGACATACTTTGTCTAATTAAGGATCCTTTATTATGGGGATCTTATCTCTGAAGATCCTTAAAGACTGACCCTTAATTATCATCTTCAAGATCTTTGAAGATCCACGTAAGAATTTTCAAGAACCTTCAAGATCTTGAAGATTTTTCAACAAGATCTTTGAGGATCTTGATAAAGATCCCCTTGAAAGTGTTTTACCAGGGTTAATTCAACCACTTCTTGATTTCCAAATCAACCACTATTTCTATGTTAACCATCAGTTTAAGAGGAAATGCCATGCTACAGTAGATATAAGTATTACTTTCATTTTCTCCCATTTTAAAATAAAATAATTTGCATAAAAACAATTGTTAGAATACCTTTTTCCAGTCCATGATATCTTTTAGTTTTCTAAACAGGAAAATTCCCTTTCCTTGAGACTTGCCCACCTGTTATACATGTATACGCAAAATATGTATATTAATTTTATTTATTAACCAGAATTACTGGTCAGTCAGCTGTGTTCTATTAGAAATCCATGAATCTGATTGGTTCTGTCATCATTTTGTAAATACATAACATGGATTAATTATTGCAAACATTTCAAGCAAACTCACAGGCTTCATAATCCATGTTGTGCCTGGGTTTCTTTTAAATTCTTCCACAAATATGTGATACTCCATCTAGGATAGGAAATAAAAGACCCACAACATTAGTTGTTAATTCAAACTGAGAAAGGTAAGAAAAAAACAAGAGGTGAGACACAAGAAAGCAAAATCTTCCAGGAGTTACTCAAAAGATAAAGCTAAATCAAAACACAAGATACAAATAAATATTAAATAAATTACAATATTTAGAGAGGAAGCCATGTCAGCCTTAGCTGCTTTTCATGCAGGTCCTAGAGCTATACTGGTCAAATTGAACTTGGAGTGTTGGTTTTTGTGGAGGGAGAAAAACCATAGAACCCAGAGAAAAACCCTAGGAGCAGGGCAAGAACCAACAACAAACTCAAAGCACGTATGCCACCAGGCTGGAATATAATTGAACCTGGACCACATTGGCGGGAAGCAAGCACTCTCACCACAGCACCATCCCTGAAACCATCTCAGTCTCCCAAAAATATACCAAGTTAATAAACATATCCAAAGCCATCATTTGGAGATGAATGCCAGTTTTTTGTTGTTTTTTGTTTCTTTGCCCTCTTTAGGTCTGATTATCTCAACACATATTAATTTATTAATACTTGAATTGGTAAAACTGAAACACAGACTACCAAGATTATTTACCAAGATTATTTAATTAAACAAAGCAGAGTTGGATATGTCCAGGCTTGAAGAGGATTCATGGCAGGATTCTTCCAATTCAGAGGTTCAGGTTTAGCTGCAAACTAAAGGGATTATGTGTACTAATGGCATCCACGATCGACTGTAAATCAATACTCTCGATCAGCACCTTGATTGGTACTCGATTGGTATCCCGATTGATACTTAGTTGACACTCGATCGACACTTGATCAACAATCAATTAGTTGACTGTTGACCGACTGTTGACTGAGATATCGATGGAGTGTCGATGGAGAGTCAACCGAGGTGTCAATGGAGTGTCGATCGAGGGTCGATCAAGGGTATCAATGGAGGGTATTGATCGACACTCAACTGCAGAAGCCGTTAGTACATATGATCTGACTAAAGTACCATTGTTGTTCACTCACCGGAAGTTCAAATGTGGTTGGGAAAAAATCACACCTAAGACAAGTAGTCAAGGACATATTGACTAAATACTTTGGGGTCGCTTGTGTTTCAAAAGGACATTCATTTAACTATTAAGGTCACCATTTTGGTCCAACATGTTATAAACAACTTAAATGCAGTTGGGTGTGTAATTTCCCTCCTACTAAATGTGTAGTTCCAGAAAATATCCATACCTACCCCATGGAAGGGATTTTCAATAATTTCAGGAAATTCCAATAAAGCTTCTCACATTTCTTTAATTATTTTGGTCTTAGAGAACCCCCACTCTCAAAAAATTCCACTCCGTTCTGTGGGGTGGTATGGAAATTTTCTGGAACTGGACAATGCACTTTTCAAGAAGCACAAATTGTTTTGGGCACCCATTGTGCAATGACAGGCTATTACTAACATGTCCTTGCAGCTTTGTAACAGTCAGCAGCCCTTGCCAAATCAAATGTTGGAAGTGTCAGTCACATTTAATTGGAAAACAAGCGATACAGTGATAATTATTTAATGCCCCGCAGCAGCTTTATGCATTTACTGGCACAATTAGACAAAGATGAGATGATATCTTCTGTGTCAGACACTTTAATACAAGGATACTTAGCAGCTTCAAGTTTTCCAAATTCTCTCTCTATTTGTTTCTTCAGTCTCTTCATATTTTTTGCCATGAGGTTCTTTCGTGTCAACTGCAGTGATATACATATTATTAATCATTTTACATGGTGCAAAAACTTTTCCACATGTAACAAATTGTTAGAAAACTAAAGGAATCTATAAGTTAAAGGTAATTAATCATTTGTGATAACAATTTTGTACCTCATAGTGATTCCTGAAATGACAGATCTTGACATGTTCTTCCATGTACATATGGTCAAAGTTCTCTCTCATCCAGCCCACATCACACCAGTAGAAATCCCATTCACCTTCCCTGTCAGTCAATCATTCAGAGTTTATGATATGTATTTGTTGCATTCATAGCATTTACATTGTCTTATTTAATTTTCTAGATTTTCAATTGTTTTGTGCTAAGAAATATCCATATCAACCACATGGAAAGCAATGGCATCCATGCCAACTCTCCTAGACTATGCAGGAGTCTCCTGGATACAAACAAGGTCTCCCAGTTTCTTATATGGGTCACCCAATCTTCCAGATACTTATTCCTTTTTCACACTTATTTTGAGTAATATATTTGAAAAATTAAGGGGAAATTTTTGGAATATTTGACACATTTTTGTGGTTGAATTGGCAAAGCTCTACATGTACATTGAATAACAATTTTTAGGGTCAAGAAAGAAAAATTGGCAATGTTTCAGATTTCATGTTTTTTAGGTTGGCATCTCTGCAATATGCAACGGTAAGTTATGCAGTTTTAAACCTTAGCTGGTGGTGTATATTTGGAAAACCTTGGGAAATCTCTAGTGTGTTATATGCTTGGAATGCACCTGGTTGCTATGGTAACTAGTTAAGGTTAATAACTACATCACATCGTTTGTCAGGAATACATTCTAAAAAGAAATAACTCTAACACAATTGGGCCTCTACAAATACGGTTAATACACTTAAATATTGTATTACAAGGTTGAGTAACTATAATAACAAAAAATGGTTAACTTACTCTCGGATTTCCGTCCAACCTTTTGAGCGAAGAACATCCAAAATAGTATTTTGAAGCGAGCATTTGAATCGGATGACACGGCTGTTGTCACTTGTAATTTTAAAAAAAGAATGGTTAAACTTTTCTTTCGCAAGGGTTAAGCTTTAATAAATTTTATAACATCATTAGAGACGACAACAGAGAGACGACAACGTAGAGACAACAGAGATTTGGTCTTTGAATACTTACAACGGTTTTCTCTGGACTGGTTTCCAGTTAAGAGTTGTTTGCTGTAACAAAAAAGGTACATTTTTAAGTTAGAAAGTTGGGATTGGACTGAGAGAAAAGTTTTCTTATTTATTTACCTTGTCGCGTTTTGCCGCCATATTGAAAATCCCAGTGAAGCCCACAATGCATCGGGGTTTGACTAGTCCTTCCCAGATCCCTGGAAAAGGAAGTCCCATCTTTCTTCGAAGTTTTGGAATGAGAGCTTTCGCCTTTGACATTCGGTTAAAAAGGAAAATGTTTCGATGTTGACAAAGAGGAAAGACTGTTACAGGTTAAGGAAAAGGTCGAATTAGAACATGCATCGAGGGTACCACAGTCCTGGAGGCTCGATCAGAGAAATAAAGCTCTGTCTTTTAGGGGTGAGGACAGTGCATTACTGTATTAACAATTTACTATTCGTGAGTGTTCACTACATACCGTGTCTAAATGTCGTCGAAAGTGATTTTATCTAAAGATGATTTACTTGTCTGTATTTGAACTGTAGGATGCTGGTGTGGGAAAGTCATGTTTGGTCCATCGGTTCGTTTCTGATTCATTTAATGCCTCCTCACCCCCTACCATTGGGTTAGTATCAGTTGAATAGTTGAGCTTTTTGTTTACGTACAGTGTTATTGAAGCTTACCTGATTAATTAAACAGTATTCTTATTTCGTGATATGATACTGATGATGTTCAGAATAAAGTAAAGAACATAAGCAGTGGAAAGGAAGCCCTCTGTCTGGACATGCTTAAATGATCATTCAAATGACCAATATTTTTAATTTAGTATTTATTGTTTGTCCTAATTGTGACAGAAGGTTTCCGAAATTTAAAAATGAAACTCGTGTTTGTTTGGTTTTGTATATGACCCACTACAGTTGTTAATCAAACAACAGTACATGTCGGTCAGGTTGTGTTTCTTTGGGCTGATGTAGGTCTGGACTTATACTCAAAGATCACGTGCACCATGGTGCTTCAAAGGATGTTATCTGCATGGCAAGGATTCATTGGTTCCTTTGTGCCATGATCTGGGTGATCTTGGATCATTCATCCTGATCTCGATCATCCCAAAGGAATACCCCCTTTGTCCGGTTACAAGTGATACAGTGTATTGATCAAATAGAGATATCAAAATACCCCCACCCCTGCAAGGGCAGGACACACTCCAGGCATTTGACTGATTGAACTGCCCCAGGGGGCTAGGAATTTGCCAATGGTGGTTCTTTTATGGGGGAGGAGAAAATTATACATCATATACTAGAGAGGTGGAGGGGAATTTGAACATTTCAAGTTGTCTAAAAATTATGGTGCAGTCAGAAGACATCAAGGTACAACACCATTCGTCTTTATTTGCACACACAATCTATTTTACAGTTATAAGTGCTTTTCCACAGATGTTGTTGCTTGAGTGGAAGGGTCTTAAAAAGCTCTGCACATATCTGATTTAGGAATTAATGGTAACTTATCCTGGAAAGGTTCAACTGTTCATTTAACTTGCTTGGTGCCATGTAATCAACAAGAAAATTAATTACAATGGAGAAAGGCTTTAGCTATCCAGATTCATCTTTTATCTTCCACTTACATTCATTTGTGATGAAAGAGAATCCTAATATATCATTGGCCAAAAATTTTTATTAATTCACTGCACAGATCTGATGATAAGGTGTCTCTCAAACTGGTTAGGACTAGGTGGAAACAAAGACAATAAGGGACATTATCCCTTATAGCCTACATAGCCAGTGGGATTTTACATGCCAGTGCTTCTGTTTAGAGATCAGGGCCATAAATGAGGGAGCAGTAAGAATGGGGAGGAGTTAATTCCGTCGTGTGCTTTGACTCTTTTCTTATAGTACACTATGTATTTTGCCTGATTGTGTCACATTTTTTAAATCATTGGGAATCATTGCTTATTGTATCTTGCAGAGCTGCTTTTATGACAAAAATGATGCTTGTGGGAGAACAAGCATTCAAGTTTAATATTTGGGATACTGCTGGACAGGAGAGGGTATGTACATTCAGAAACTTTTAATTTGTAAATGCATCATTATTGACATAATAAAGTCAAGACACAAAAGATCGTAATTTAGTTTCTTTACAAAACATTAGCCTACTTTCACGGTAGCTTTATTATAGGAGACATTACCAATATTATCAGGGACCAACTTATCAGAGCAAACAATGGTATGTTGAGAGCCATTTATTTGACTTAATGTATATGTTTTGTCTTTCAGTTTAAGAGCCTCGCTCCACTTTATTATCGAGATGCTGCTGCAGCCATTTTAGTTTATGATATAACAAGTGAGGTAAGTTGTAGCAATGTAAATAGTGGATGGGCAAATATACGCAATTATTTAAGCTTAACAAATTTATCTTAACTACAACAAAGTGACTCAAACCTCAGTCTGTTCAAATCAAGTCCAATAACTTGCATAGTGGATAAAACCCTACTTTGTGGTCATTGAAGTGAAGGCTAGTGATTTCACCATTGATTTCACCATCGTGGAATGGCATGAAGACATCAAATTGATTTTGGAGTGGCAAAAAAATCAACTAGCTGTGCTCAATTAAGTGAGGACAGCTAGTAAAATATTGTTGTTAACACAGGAGGCCTAAGTTATGCATGATTATGTCACGTGCACAAAATTCACCACCAAGCCCTGTTTGTGAAAATTTTCTCAAACCTCAGGTACCTTTGTGTTGTTTAAGCAAGGCCGGTATTCTTTTCATCTTTGTTGCCTAGGGAATTTATCCACAATAAATTCTAAAAGCAAGGCTTGGTGGTGAAATTTGTTTGTGTGATGTCATCATGCATAAGCCAGGGCTATTTTTGTAAACTATATAGACTAATCTATCACTTTCCATTTTAACTGACTGTCTGTTCAAACAACTGTGAAAAATGGTGAGGGGTACTTGGGTTCTTGATGTAGATTCCTACAAATTTCACATTGAAGAGGTGTTTTTTCCAGTAAAACACCACATTTACAGTATGTAATAAAGTTTGTGATATTACGGAACTTGTTCTAACTTTCAGGTCTTTGGGTAATATAAAACCATTTTAAGCATTATTGTACTTTCTTTCTTTTTTGTAATTGAAAGTGGGCAGGCTAGTCTTTTTCCATCATGGTACAAAAAAAGAAAAAACAAGGACAAACTCAAGTAAAATTTGCATCCTCTGTTGAATTTCAGAGTTCATTTCATGCTTTAAAAAACTGGATCAAAGAGTTAACAAGATATGGTCCCCCTGATATCCTTATCGCTATTGCTGGTAACAAGTGTGACAAGGCTGATCAAAGAGAGGTGTGTGTTTGTTTTCAAGGATATTATCTGATCAGGTTGATAGTGGTACAAATGAACCTAGTCTGTAGCAGCTAATCCTACAGGATCGAAGAATGTTTCTCCTTTAAAGGGGTAATGTCATGAATGCAACTATGTGACATTTCAGTTAATGCAGCAGAATGTTTCAAGTTTGAATTTGGCAAATTCAAAATGGCATCAACTGATGGAGCCAGCTGTGGTGTGTGAACAAGGGAAAACGGCATTGAATGACTCACACAGAGAGAAAAGGCTGTCATGAAAGGATAATTTAGATGAAAGTATGTTGTTGTTGTTTTGGGCCAGTTTAGTGGCTGCCTGTCATCCCTGGATACAGTACTTCCATGTAGTGAATGCTGAGTTTTGATTTGTTGAGCTACTCAGTTCATCTTGACCTCCTAATCATAATTCATTGTTATCTTAGGAATCCATTAGGGAAGTGCGGTGCCCTCATGCTTAGTGCACTCGTCTCCAGATCGAGTGGTCTGGGTTCAAGCCCTGGACAGGTCATTGTGTTGTGTTCTTGGACAAGACACTCTACTCTTACAGTGCCTCTCGCCACTCAGGTGTAAAAATGGGTACCAGCAAATTTAATGCCGGTGGTAACCCCATGATGGCCTAGCTTCCCATCCAAAGGGAGTAGAAATACTCCTAGTTGCTTCATGCTGCAGAAACTGGAATAAGCTCCGGCCTAATGGGCCACTTGGCTCGTATGCAGACCATTAGGAATCCATATGCACATGGCTTTTAACTGACGTATTGAATGTATTGAACATCTTTTAATACACGCTATTCACGGTGTTCCTCCTTAGGTTCTGGAGGAAGTAGCAGAGGAGTTTTCCAATAGCGTGGAAGCAATATTTGTAGAGACAAGTGCTCGCACAAACAAGAATGTTCACTGGCTCTTTGAAGAGTTGTGTGAGTTCATGTTTTCTTCATTATCAATATCTCATATTTAATTATCAACAGCCACCCAAGCAGCTAAAGCAGTGGCGGATCCAGACCTCGAGCTAAGGGGGGCAGGCGGTTTTATTTTGCTTACCCTGCCAGCTTTTCTTTCTTCTGTGATTTCTTCTTTTTTACCCAAAATAAGGGGGAGGGGGGGCTGGGGCCCTTGGGCCCTTCCCCTAGATCTGCCATTGTAAAGTAACCATAGCAATGGACTAGCATCCCATCCAGGGGGAAGAAGAAATAATTTTCTAGTTGCTTTATCCTACAGAAACCAGGATAGGTTCCATGAATGGTATCATGGAACACTTGGCATTATAACATCAGTGCCAACCCCACCCCTGCCCCCCACCACCACCCCTAGATTGAGAAAATGGGTGAGGCCTGAAGTGGTGACAATAAACCTATTCTCACTTCAATAGTGACAGGGGAAGATCTAGGAAAAGTGTGCAGAGGGTGTACACCCACCCCTGAGATGAAGACTTCTTCTTCATATTCCCTTTAAAAATTGGTTAACCTCACCAGTCTGCAGTTACGCCATTCCTTAGTGGTGCACCCCTCCTAAGAAAAATCCTGGATCCACCCGCGAGTGAAGTAGCTCTGTAGCCTTAGAATGAGGGATATTTTTGACCCGTGCATTTTTTGTTCTGCTTTAAGCCATTTCTGAAGGGGGGAAGGGAAGCTTCATGCCTTAAAAAGATACATATGCTGTCACAGGCTCACATTTAATACAACTTATCTCCTGCTTAGCTCGCAGACTACCTCAAGAACAAGCAGAACCTCACCCTGCAAACCGCACCCTTCTACGACCCAGACAAGCTGAAGATCAACAGCCAAAGAGATCTTGTTGTTCTGAGAAATCACAATCTTGAGTAGAACTGTACAGATATTAGTGTAACTTGTATTAAAGAGTCGGTAGGTACAAGAATTCCTTAAATTGAGATTCATTCAGTATAGTAGTAAGAGCCAGGAACAACTCTACCATTGGAAAGGAAAATATCTGGTATTGTTGCAAAGATGGCACACAAGCCATGGTTCACTTCAGAATTGCAAGGGGCCTGGGTATGAGTAGCTAGAATTTATTAAGTGAGAGGATAATTGAATGAACCCATGTTCGATCCCTTTTATGAGACATTCCTGCAGGGAATCAGGGTAGTCATGGTAGTTGTATTCATCATCTTGGGCTAGATATTTGATTTAATGAATACAACTACCATGATTCCCTGCAGGCATGTCTCAGAGAGGGAATAGACCAATAGACCAATTTCGATATATTAAAATTCAGCCTAAAACAGTAGACCTCAGCACGAGGCTCTGGGGAATAACTACAGAATTTGTGGGGTTTATTCCCCAGAGCCTTGTGCTGAAGTCTATTGTGTTAGGCTGAATTTTAATATATCAAAATTGGTCTATTTCGATATATTAAAATTCAGCCTAACACAACAGACCTCACAAGGCTCTGGGGAATAAACCTCCCAAACTCTGTAGTAATTCCCCAGTGCCTCGTGCTGAGGTCTATTGTTTTAGGCTGAATTTTGATATATCGAAATTGGTCCATTGGCCATTATCTCAAAAGAAGTAAACAACCAAGCCAAATTTTGTAATCTTCTTTTCAGTAGGAGCTAGACTAGAGGCTTCTAAAAATTAGAAGAATTATCAAATACTGTGTTAGGGCTCCAAAACAGCAGCTTTTTGCAAATGGGCGTTAAGCCTAGGTTACTAAATAAACCTAACTTTGTTTTGTTGTGCAAAGTTATTTGATTATCTCGCCAGGAATAACGTACATCTCTTTGCAGTGCACCCAATTTATGCGGCATAAGATTCACTGCAAAATTCTGTAATTAAACACATTGCCCCATGTTTCGTTTGTTAGTGACAAATGCAAGTCCGTAATACCATACTAATTTCTGTAGGATTGTGTTTTCGGCATGGATAATTTGTACTCAAAATGTACATGTGGCATGCAAGAAAGATGGCTGCTTCGTGCTCAGGTTACAAACAGGCTACGATTTCTGTTTTAGTTTTAATTCATTCCCAGGCAGGCCTTTTTCATTTTAGTGGCATTAAATTGCAAATGGGAATATCCATTTACAGCTCACCCTGTGTTAGTGGGCATCTCCCATAAGCAAGAAACTACATGAAATTGTGGTGCCCTGTTTGTTCTGTGAAGTGCTTCAACCATTTTGACTGCAACCGTTCTTTACAATTTAGTGTATTAATTAAAAGTTGAGAATAACTGACATATTAAAAGTGGCTTTAATCTTCTTGGCATTCATCGTCGATTTTTCTGTTTTTGGTGTTGTTAAATGTAATTTAGGAGATTTAAAGCAGTTAAAACTTCTAGCTAACTTGCATGGTAAGTGAAAACCTTACAAGGGAGCCTGAAGATTGGTTCTACACATGACTACTATTTAAACAACACAATGTTTCTGCGAGGAACTATCGGCTGATAGTTGCCCCGCGGAAATGTGATGTTCTTAAACAAAAATTTACCCGAGAAGCAAAGCTTCAAAAAGCTCCGTTTTCAAAATGTTTTCTGTCCACACGAAAACGAAAAGCCAGCGTTTTCAAATTGCTCTGGTTTGAAGAGCGTTTTCCAAAGCTTCGTTTTCGTGACGGATTAGTGTGGACGGTAGGCCTAACCGTAGAAATAAAGCTGCGTTTTCAAATTTCTCCGGTGTAGTGTGGACGGGATCTAATACGTTTATCAAGTTTACTTTCAATGGATGAATAGATGTGAGTATTACATCAGCAATCAGCGGTTTGCATGGGGGGTGGGTGGGTAGGCATTGTGATAGATTTAACTTCGAATATTAAGGTAAGACGGTGAAGGGTTGTTGATAACTGCCACACGTTTTTAACCCTCCTTGTTACATTTTATTACAAGAGTATAAACGTAATTAGTATTAACGCAGCTAGATAGAGGTTTGTAAGGAAATTTAAAAAAAAAGAAGTTTGTAATTGTTTTTGAATAAAACAATTATTCAAGTTGTGAAAAGTAGTCTTGTAATTTACTTCATTGACCATTTAATGTTAAGTCTTCCCGACACATTTCAAAGTGTTTCTCTCTTCGACAACGGCAGGTATTTCCTGTCTTTGCTTGTTCAAAGGTGGGGTAGTGGAGACGAGTGATTCTCACGTAATTGCTCGTGTCGTGGCCCGCATACCAAGCCTTACGCTTGGGAGAAGGTGGCAACATACTTCCTTGTAA